GGGCAGTGTTTCGTTCTGTTGTACATAGAGTCGCTATGACTTGGTACTGACTTGACGACACCTAACAACACAGTATCTATTTCTAGATTAATTATTGACTTTCCTTGATCACTCAGCCTATGCCTACATGGGTATCTCGACTTTACTTTAAAATTGTGCTTTTATGTCCCTTTGACTGAAATATCCTAACATGTCTTAAAATGTCCTGTCCAGAAATTAATTTATTAATATTATTAAGTGTCTACTATGAGCCATGTACCAGGTTAAATAGCAAACCAGACTTCGTCTCATAATGTAGCATAGTACTGAGTTGAAGACAACCTTTATATATATACACCACAGTTGTGTACCATACTATATAGTATGTCCCTTTCCAGAAGAGATATCTCATTTCCAGATGTATTCGTCTTCCTCAAACATTGTATAACCCTTTTTTGACCCATGGGACATGTAGTGCCCACCTACATTTTCTGCCTCTGGTGTTCAGTGAAAAGCTAGTCTCACTTTTAGTATGTGTTGCCATCTGGTGGAGGCCTGCATAATTGCATGGATCTGAAGAAACAGACCTCATCCCACAAACTGAAGGACAAGAAACCACTTGGAATATCTGTGTCCCTCTAGTGGTATTAAAGGAGTCCTGGTGTGGTTCTGTGGGCTAATGCATCAGACTGCAAAGTCATTTGAACCACAAGGTTGGTGGTTCAAGCTCACCAGCTGCTCCTTGGAAACCCTATACAGGGTTGCTGTGGGTCGGAATCAACTCAACGTCACTTAACAACAAGTGTGGCGCTGCAAGACAATGCACTGGACGGCAAGCTTTGTTTGAACTGCTGATCAGTGGTTCAAACCCTCCCACCACTCCTCAGAACCCCTGTACAAGGTTACTGTGAGTTGGAACTGATTCAGTGGCACTTAATAACAACTACAAAGTTTTATTCAAAAACTATATTACCTCAAAAATGTCTTTTTGTTTCCATTTAATTAAAAATTCCTTTCTTTGCTAAAAATGCTTTGTTTTGACGATGATTATTGCTGAAAATGCATTGTTTCAACAAAAATTTCAAAGCAGTAAATAATTTGTTCTTGAAAGGGTTAAGGCACAGCCCAGGAAGCTAGTGGAGAGTGTTTAGTTCCAATTTTCAATCAGAAAGACTAAAAAGGACCTTGAGAATAATCTTCAGAGTGTTCACAAAGTGCCTTAGAGGAGTAAGAAACTAGGTTTCGTAAAGAACCCTAAAACATCAGGCAGCCAAGTTGCATCAGCTTAATAAACGGGCAGTCCTATAAATTCTTAGATTTGTTTCCTGAGAAAAGTTTCATTTTCTAAAGTGCATGAACCACAAAGGCTCAAATGAGGAAATAAAATATTTCCAGATATGTAGATGTTATCTTGATTCACTTTTGTCATTTGACAGACATTGAATGTGTATCTACTGTGTGTGAAATTCTATGCTAAGGCTAATGCTAGAGAAGTAAAATTTCAAAGACAGCTTTTGCCTTCACAGAGCTAGCAGGTTATCAAAGTAGCACTTACTGAGCAATTGCTGTGTACCATGGGATGTGCAAAGAATTTTTCTGAACTATTTACATGAGTTATAGTGTTGGAGGAGTATATTTGACATATTAAAAGAACAAATAGATCTGTGTTGGAAAAAGTACAGCCAGAGTGCTCCTTGGAAGCCAGACTTCGTCTCTGATACTTCAGACATGTTGTCAGGAGGGACCAGTCCCTGGAGAAGGATGCCATGTTTGGTAAAATGGAGGGTCAGAGAAAAAGAGGAAGACCCCCAGCGAGATGGATTGGCACAGTGGCAGCACCAATGGGCTCCAGTGTAGCAATGATTGTAAGGTTGGCCCAGGACCGGGCAGTGTTCCGTTCTGTTCTGCACAGGGTCTCTGTGAGTCTGTACCGACTTGATGGCACCTAACAACAACAACAACTTTATTTTGTGAGGTAGATATTATTTTGACTATATCTTTGTTCTACAAATGGGGAGACTGAGGCAGTCTTTGTATTCAGCCCCAATATTTCTTTTTTCTTTCTTTCTTTCTTCACTCAAAGCCCAAGCTTGACCTGTACAAGCTCACAGAAGACTAGAGAAAAGAGTTGTGAAAATGTTCATGATCTAAGAATAAGAAGCTTAATTTTTGCTGTTTCCCAGGCCTCTATAAAACCAAAGTGCGGGCGTATGATCAGCTTTTCATCAGGAGGAGAGAACCCACATGGGGTGAAGGCGGTCACCAAAGGCCAGAGGTGTGCTGTGGCTCTGTGGTTTACCTTGGACCCACTTTACAGAGAATTGGTGAGTTTTATGATGCAACCACAAAGCCAACTAGGTTTCCCATTACCCTACTTAATGGGCTGATTTATCTGAAAAGGCCTTTCAGTTGTTCGGTAATTCAGGGATTTTGGAGATCGTGGGGAAAAAAGAGACTTCTTAGGGAATCTTTTCTCTTTGGTTTCCAACACTGACACTGTTTTCTAAGGAAGAGTACATATTTTTTCTCAGATTTATGACTTGACATTTGTACATCTAACTTTTATAGTGAGTTTGGGGAAGAGCAGGGGGCTTATTAGAACACTTTTGAACCAGATGGGTTCTATTAAGTAGAAGTGGAAGTGGAAATGTGAGTGTATTTGGAAATCATTAATCAAGTCTGAGCTTTATTAAGAAACTGTAGCATCAGGAGAAAGGAATCTACCAGTCACTCCATGGGAGAAAGATGGGGCTTTCTGCTCCTATAATGATTTACAGCCTCAGAAACCCTATGCAGGGTCTCTGTGAATCGGAACCGGCTCCATGGCACAACACCATCCCTCTTTAAGGAGTCCTGATGTGTCACTGTGGGCTAATACCATGGACTGCAAAGTCAGTTTGAACCGCAAGGTTGGCAGTTCAATCTTACCAACCACTCCTTGGAAACCCTATATAGGATCGCTGTGGGCCAAAATGGACTGAACCACATTTAACAACAACAATCTCTCTTTAAGGAGTCCTGGTGTGGCTTTGTGGGTTAATGCATTGAACTGCAAAGTCGGTTTAAACCACAAGGTCAGTGGTTCAAGTTTACAAGCTGCTCCTTGGAAACCCTATACAGGGCCTCTATGGATCAGAACAGACGCAATGGCACTTAACAACCACAGCAACAATACTTCTTTAATGGAATCCTGGTAGCGTCGTGGATTACGAGTTGAACTGCCACCCACAAGATCAACAGTTCGAATCTACCAGCTGCTTCTCAGGAGAAAGATGAGGTTTTCTTCTTTCATAAAGATGTATAGTCTCGGAAACTCTATACAGGGTCACTCTGAGTCAGAACCAACTCAATGATATACAACCACCACCACCATCCCTCTTTAGCATTCAATACAGCAGACATACTGCATTACCTATTATATATTACATATTTCATTATTCGATATCCCAACAATCTCTTTCAGGGTGCTATTGTATTAAAATAAGCAGACACAAAATAAATTCTCTCTGCTCTTTCCCAACCAAGAATCATCTTCTGATGGTAAAGTACTAGGGTTCTTCCCCAGTCCGCTGGCTATAGCGACATCTAGCGGCCACAGTATAAAATGACCAGAGCCTCTTCAACTAATTGAAAATTTAGCTTATATACATGTAATCTCATGGGGATTTAAAAACCAAAAAAAAAAAAAAAAAAAGGGATAGAAGGATAATCATTCACCAGGTTATGAACATCCAATTTATATACATCCCATAGTTGTGAAACAACCCCTATAAAGCGTATTAAAAATGTGAGGTCCATAAAATGAGTTGGAACCAACTTAACAACAACAAAATGGTTTGTAATAACAAATGGATGCTACTTTGCGATGCACATCGAAACATTACTATTGTTACTGTATTATTATGGCAAAGGTGTTTTACTGTGTGTGGAAATGTTTCTTTAATGTCTTTATGCATAAAATACATGACATACTAAGACAAACATTTGACTACATGACGTTAGATACAAACCATATGTGCCTTTTCTGCAATACATGCAAATTCAACTTAAAAACAGACTTAGGGACACAACTTGTTCACAAGCTAGGTACTGTTTGTCCTCCGATCTGGCTTTCACTTCCCGAAATTCTGGATGAATTGGTCGGGGCTGAATCCTGGTTATCAGGAGTATTAAAAGCCCTCCAGTGATTCTCATCTGGTGCAGCAAGGTTTGGGAACCACTTTTCTACACACCTTGTCCCGGACTGAATCCTGAATGAGGAAAGACTGCCTATGAATAAGTGATTACAGCTGGCAAATCGCCAGGCTCCTCATACATGCCTTCACAGGCATCCTTTCTCAAAGATAGATGAGGCTTTCTGCTCCCAAAAAGATTTACAGCCTGGGAAACCCTGTACAGGGTCAGAACCAACTCCACGGCACATAACAACAACAACAACAATTCTCAAGGAGCATTTAGCATCATAAATTCTGAAGGATGCAAAGATACTAGAAGTCTCAGTCCCTTGGCTTCTAGCACTCCTATGTCTTTCTCTTCATTAGCCACGTGACTGCCATGGGTTCTTGTGGCCATCAGATCTGATAATGTTGTGGGGGTGTCTTTTTGTTAAGCATCAATATTGATTCCCCCCTACTCATATATATAGTAGTGGTCCTGGGGTTTGTGTGCCCTGGAGTTGGTTCCTACTCATAGAGACCTGACATACAGTCTCCGAGATAAATCTTTATGAGAGCAGAAAACTTCTCCCTCAAAGCTGCTAGTAGATTTGAACTGCTGACCTTGTGGTTAGCAACCCCGTCTGTAATCCATTAGACTACCAACGCTCCTTCATACAGTAGTACTTCAGTATATTACTTAGGCATCATGACAGCAGCTTACTTTTCTGTTATTTTAGTATTTGGTACTTTTAATTCCCTTTATGTCAACATCATTTCCGATTGTTAAGTTCTTAACTGACAGCGTCCTTGTTTTCAAGATCTAAAACTTGTAAATGTATAACTTGATGTGTTAGGTACAATTCTTGGGAGACCTGAGCTCAGTTTCCACCCCACCAGCCGTCTGTCACTGTGTTGCTATGATGCTGAGCAAGTTTCAGCGAAGTGTCCACCAACTAGGAAGACCTGTCAATCTGTTGCTGGAAATCAGCCAGTGGGAAACAAGGATCCCAACAGCTAAGCCGCAACCAATCATGGAGCTGGGCAGCTTTTTGTTCCATGATGTTTGGATTTGCCATGAGTCTTTGTCGGTGGGCACTTAGTGACAACAAAAATTATATGCTACGCATTGTGCTGGGAACTATGTGTAGTGATACAAGTATAACACCTACTTTCAAGGCAATTGAATTGGAGAGACAATACAGGGCGTCAAATTATTAAAATACAAAGTTATTAGAGACGTGTAGATGTGTTTAGAAGATATAAAGAAACGATCAGGAAAGACGTCCTTGAGGAGATGATGTTTGAAATGAGACGTTTGAAAAGATAAGTAAGATTTAGCCAATCATTTTAGACAGAGGCATCTTGTCCTCTGTTTATGCATTTATTTATCAAATGTAATGGCGCCTCTGTCAAATGCCAGTGACTGTTCTGAAATACAGCGGTGGCCAAGAAGGCAAGGTACCCTGCAGTCACAGGGTTTATATTCTAGTAGAAGGGGACAGACAACAGATAAGTTAAACAGATAAGGAAAGAGATTTCCAGGGAGTAGTAAGTACTGTGTGGAAAATGGAGCAAGGTAGGTGATTTGAGAGTAAGGATGAGGGTTTGGGTGGCAAATGATGAGAACCCTCAGAAGTGACCAGTGAGCTGTAACCTAGGGCCAAGAAATAGCCGACTGTGATGAAGAGTACGCCAGGCAGAGAACACATTACAAAAGCCCAGAATCAAGAGAGAACTGGAGTTCATCCTAGTCTAGAAAGAGAAAAGAGACCAGACTATGCAAGAGATCTGGAAAGAGGACACAGAGGAATGGGTCAGATACTGTGGACCTGTTGTTGTTGTTGTTGTTACATGATGTCAAGTAGGTTCCAATTTCACAGAGATCTTGTATAGAGTTTCTGAAGAGCAGCTGGTGAATTTGAACTGCCGATCTTGTATTAGCAGTTCACTGCATATCCTACAGCGCCACAGCAGGAACTGTTAAGAAATATGAATTTTACTTCAACTGTTGTGTTATTAAGTGCCATCGAGTCGGCTCTGGCTTATAGCAATACTATATAGGGTTTCTTAGGAGCAGCTAGTGGGTTTGAACTGCCGACCTTGTGGTCCACAGTCTATTGTTGATCCTACAGCCCCACACCAGAAGTCCCATTTTAATACTGTTGGGATTGAGAGGCTATTGTGATCCTCCTACCCTATACCCACTCCCAGGCCCAGGAAGTTCTAGGATATAAACAATTACTTTAACTGATGTGTGGACTTCGACTAACAACTAAGATAGTAAGAGACAAGGTGAAAAGATAGGAAAGCCTTGAGATGCAATTTGGCGGTTGACCAACTAGACTTGAAGATTGATATGTGTATGGGTTAGGGGTTGGAGGAGGGATAGGAAAAAGCACAGGATATAACAGAAACCAGGTCCAAGTCCCTGAGTGGTAAAAATAGTTAATGTGCTCTGCTGCTCACCAAAAGATGGATATTCAAGTCCATCCTAACCAAAAACCATGGTCAGCCTCTTAAATAGTCAGGGCAAATGGGTGGCAGGGTAGCTGGCCTTTTCAGAGGGACAATGTGAAGAACAGGGTAGGTCTGTGGGGAGAAAATGGTTAATTCCATTTTGGACACTGTTCTGAGTTGGCGATGGCTTTGAGACCACCAGTTGAACATACAAGAGGGCTTCAAAAAGTTCAAGGAAAAACCCCATTGTCTTTTAATTCCATTATCCATTGACCTTTCTGAAGCCCCCTCATACAGGACTGCTCCTCAGGAGAGAAATCTTGGAAAGTAATCCCTTAGGACATAGGGACATCAAGAGACGGCACTAATTTTGGGGTGAACATGCGCTTGAATATATGACTGGATTCAGCACCAGCCCATGTACAGATGGATGCCAGGAAGTGTTTGGGATGCAGCTGCCACTGGGGCTGATTATTATGCTTGTAATAGAACTGTGTAAACTGTCTTTTTTGCAGGAGCGAATACAGGCTGATGAAGTGATTGCAATCCTGGATCAAGAACAGCAAGGAAAACATGAGCTGAATCATATCAACCCCAAAGATGAGCTATAAAAATGAGAAAGATGTTCTATCAAATATTTATTTAAATTGTTAATCTTATGAGAACCTTTTTATTTTTGTACAAAGCTGTGGTATAAATTAACAGGTTAATATGAGTCACCGGATCTCCCTTCTGTTCCGAAAGATGCTTGCTTTGCCTCACTCAGTCTATCTTTCTTGGATATTCAGCAGTTCATCTCTCCAAATGCAATCACATTCCCCAACCACCCACACACACAAACACATGCACAATTCATTCGCTATAGATTTAAAAGCTCAAATAGAAACAATACGTTTGTTCTTACGAAGCTACAGCTCTCATGTGTGCTCTAGTTGCAAAGTTTCTGTATGATCTGGTAGAAAGAAGAACTCTAATGAATACTGAACAAGATCTTGCTGCTTCTCTGCTTCTAAGTCACATCTTCTCACCGCACTGAAAGTCATGAACTCTTACCCTCTGGGGTCAGCTCAGCCTTGAGTCTGAGTTGCTCCTGGCATTAAACCAGTTCAGACTGGTTCAGTCATGACTGATGAAGGGAAATCAGAACAGACCCAAATTCTTAAAATTGGGGTGCAGTGGAACGATCATTGGAATGGAAAAAAATTATGGGATGAAGCCCAGGAATGGGAGACACAGAAGAGGCATAGTAAGCCCTTTCAGGAACTTGGTTTGGGAGATCAGATTATTGCTAGGTCTGTGGCGACAGACACACATTCACAGTGGTATAGTCAGCCGCCATCTTTGAACAGGGCACCACTGTTTCTGACTCTCTTCTTCAAGAGATGTGGTTGCTATGCAATGCACACCACCCTCGTTTTTTAAGTGGGTGATTGCATTTATAGTGCCAGCCATTACTTTTCCCATTCCAGTTATCATTCAAGTTCACTCACATTTTACAAATGTGGGCCCTTTCTGGGTTCTTTTCATCAACTCTGATTGAACTGGGAAGAACCAGTTGAAACCTCTGATCAGAATCCACATTGCCACAGCTATCACTGGCCAAAGGGTCATCTGGCCTCTGAGAAAGAACCACTCTGATGAGCACTGAACAAGACTGAGGGGCCTCCCAGTCTCTCCTGGGCCTTGCTGGAGTTTTGGGCTCTGGTATTTTCACCAGAGAACAAGCTTACACTGGAAGCTTTGATTCACCCTCCACAGTGTTCTGGAAAGTCTTCTCTATGAACTGAGTCTTTTAAGCAGTTACGTAGATCGGGGATAAAAGACTCTCCACCCCAGTGACTTCAGAAAATCTTGAACCCCATCTAGACCAGGACACCGTTGCCAGGTTGGCTTAGAAAGGGATCCACTGATGACAAGGGGTGTGCTGTACTTAGGAAAGTTGATTCCCGATGGATTCCAGTCTTCATGTGCCTATAGTTTGGTATGCTTCCCCTTTGCTGCGATCCAGCTCATGGATTTGTTTTTGTGTCTCATTTGTCTAATAAAGGGAGCCTTATTTTCATATCTGGCATTAATATTTATTCTCCCAAATATTTTGGCTTCAGAGAATAGTTTTTTGGTCCCATAGGACAAGGTGGGGCCATCACTAGTTTCCCTGGCAGGCACTCCAGGGTCTGAAGGAAGGTGAGAGCACTGGCTTTGAAGAAACAGAGAACATTAGTAAGCAGAGGTGTTATTCCAGAGAACTTCTGGTCCTTGACCCGGACTCTAAGAGGATGCTGAAGGTATGCTGGTCTATGGGAGCTGGCCTGCACTAATGGGAAAATACCTGCCTTTGTAATGAGCAAGAATGTTTAAGAAAACCAGCAATCAAAACATTTTCTAAAATTCAGATTTACTTTCTGCTGTTAAAGATTTTGGAGTCCTGGTGTGGCACTGTAAGATAAGCACTGGACCGCACAGTCAGTTTGAATTGTAGCTCTTCAGAAACCCTCTACAGGGTCACTATGAGTCAGAACCAACTTCATGGCACTTAACAACATTTCTGATCTTGGTTCATAGAAGTTTCTTTCTGTGAGACTTAAAAATTAATCACCATGATTTACATGTCATCTGCATTCTACCCAACCTTACAGTTGCATTTTCATCACAAGGAGTGGAAAGAGTGTTTAATTGTTAATCCCATCCCTACTAGATACAACCTGCTGTGTGATCCAGAGCTTATCTCTTTCCCTTTCTGGACTTCAGTTTTTCTGTTCTGAAAATGACATAATTGGTTGCACTGGGTTCAAAATCCCTCTGTCTTACCCTAAATATGAAAAAAAAGCAAAAACAAAAGATGAAATTGATTTTAGGAAACGTTCACAAATACAACCATATTTCCTTCTGCTGGCATTTTGCAAACATTCGTTATGTTTGTTTTGTTGTTGTTGTTGTTAAGTACTGTCAAGTTGGTTCTGACTCATAGCGACCCTCTATAGAGTTTCCAAGGAGCAGCTGGTGAGTTTGAACCGCCGACTTTGTGGTTCAAACCAACCATGCAGTCCAGTGCTTTATCCCACAGCGCCACATCAGAACTCTTGATAAAACCGTAAACGCATTTGTAGGTCTAAAACCTCTAGAGCTTGTAGAGGTAGCTGGCTCTGTGTTTGCTCTCCCACTGGGAAGGGTTTGCTGGCACTCAGATTTGCTGATAGGAAGATATGGGGAAGGATCTCATTACTGTTTTCTGGCAACAAGAAATCAACAAAGATTGTGTCTTGTTCTTTGCATTCCTACTTCCTGGGTGCATTGTTGCCCTGGGTGAGGCAAGGACTTTAGCTTAGATTCTGCTGTTCAGCGCCAGAGAAAGGGGGTGAAAACCTCAGCAGACAAACTTGTATTCAATGCTCATCTTGTGCCATTTCCTGAAAACCCAGAGTAGTTACTCCTGTTTGGCAGGTTAGCCATGTTGTTTTACACCCAAGACATCATGTATACACTAGAGCATTTATTATTTTAATCTGCTCCACATCAAACCATACAAAATTTAATTCACATATTTAGGGAGTGCCATCAGATGACTTCAAAAAATAAAGTTCAGAAATTACAGCATGAATGCTAGATAGTCTTTGATGTAGAGAGAGGGATAGCCCATTATAATTTTAGTAGTCGACATCAGTTTATTATGTAAAGGGTCCTAGAAATCAACAATTCAACAATTCAGCCTCATCTTTCTCTCTGGGACGAAACTGAGGAGAGATTATCCCATGGTTACAAAATTTGAGCAGACAGGGAGAAGTAGGGCTAAGGTCATGGCTGCTGCATCTGGTTGTGCAATGTCCAGACATGGGATACATAGGAACTGGGATCCTGGCACAGGGTGGTGTCCACCCAGAGGAAAGAATGTCTTTTTGTGCTTGGCCCAAGATTCTACTAAGTCAGTAGTCTGTTCAGAAAGGGTGCCTTTTTCTAATTCACACAAAGGTGCTAGAGAGGAGCTGAAGGCAGCCCAGGCTCAGGGCCAATTGTGAAGACTTCAAATCTGTTGTTCTTCTACATCACTTGGACAACTGCCATTTTATCTTTATGACTATTCCTCCCTCATGTAAAGAGCCTACAGTTCACAACGCTTTTATTTCCATGGGTATTATTACATTGAATGTTAATAACAACCTTTTGAAATAGGTATTATTCTGACTGTATATTGTTGCTGCTGTTGTTGTTAACTGCCACGGAGTCAGTTCTGACTCACAGTAACTCTGTATAGGGTTTCCAAGATGCGACTGGTGAGCTTGAACCACTAACCTTGTGGTTTGCAGTTTAGTGCTGATCCTACAGTGCCTCACCAGGACTCCCTTTGTATAGATGAGGGAAATAGAGGCTCAATGCAGCTACATGATTTTCCCATGATCACAAAATTAGTAAGAAGCCAAATCATTGGTTTGCAGCATTACTTTGAAATCAGTACTTTGAAAAGGTAGACATGCATTTTAGGGTATAGCATCTGTCAGAAGGAGTCCTGGTATGGCGCTGTGGGTTAATGCGCTGGTCTGCAAAGTCAGTGTGAACCACAAGGCCCCCGGTTCAAGCTCGCTGGTTGCTCCTCAGAAACCCTATACAGGTCACTATGGGTCAGAAACAACTCAATGGCACTTAACAACAGCATAGAGCAGAAAAACAAATTAACTACACCTGTGAGAAGAGACAGTCGAAAAGTTCCATATCATCAGCTAAAAACAGGCCAGGGGCAGACTGAAACACACCATCAATTGCTCACATGAAATTTTAGATTGAAGACTGAAGCTAAAGAAAATTAAAATAAATCCACAGGAATCAAAATTTGACCTTGAACATATCCCACCAGAATTTTAGAGCTCATCTCTGGAGCAGATTTGATGCATTAGATACCAGTAACAGTGACCGAAGACCAGAAGAGTTGTGGGTTGACATCAAGAACATTATACAGGAAGAAAGCAGAAGGTCATTAAGAAGACAAGAAAGAAAGAAAGAAAAGACCAAAATGGATACCAGAAGAGACTGAAATGTGCTCGCTGGTGTAGAGATGCTAAAGCAAATCGAAGAAATAAGGAAGTAAAAGACCTGAACAGAAAACTTCAAATTGAAGCATTATAATGAAATGTGCAAAGATCTAGAGTTAGAAAACCAAAAAAAGAAGAACACACTCAACTTGAGTGGTTCTATGGACAAAATATTGAATGATGCAGAAAGTATCAACAAAAAGATGCAAGGAGGAATATACAGAGACACTGAACCAAAAAGAAATCATTGGTCATCAAGAGCCATTGGTATTGAAGAAAGAAGTTCAAGGTGCACTGAAGGCATTGGCAAAGAACATGGCTCAACTGATGGAATACATATTGAAATCTTTCAACAAACTAATGCAGCACTGAAGGACTCTCGCTCATCTATGCCAAGAAATTTGGAAGACAGCTACATGGCCTACTGATTTGAAGAGATGCATATTTGTGCCCCATTCCAAAGAGAGTTGACTGTACAGAATGTGGAAATCATTGGAGAATATCATTAATGTCATACACAAGTAACATTTTGCTCAAGATAATTCAAAAACCATTTCAACGTTACAGTGACCGGGAACTGCTGGAGGCTCAAACCGGATTCAGACTAAGACATGGAATGAGAGAAATCATTGCTGACATCAGATGGATCTTGGCTAAAAGCAGAGAATACCAGAAAGGTGTTTACCTGTGTTTTATTGACTGTACTTAGACTTTGACTGTGTGGTTCCTGACAAGTTATGGACAATGTTGCAGAGAAT